TTGCCAGCCGTAAAACCGAAGATATGTCAAAATAGTACGTATTTAAAATTATTTTGATACTTCTATTTAATACATTTTCAATTAGAATTTTGAAATTTTGAATTTTCTATCCACTCATTATTGAAATTGTTGGACAGGAAATGAAACGGCAAATCAGGAAAATCAACTGGACTATGACAGCGAGTATCTACTGCATGTTCCGGATTAGAACGTCATTCACTAAAATGTCAGGTAATAAATTTATTTCTGACAATTTCGACAACTCAGTAATAAATTTTTGACAACTCATAGCTGTATTAACGTATTAAAAAAATACACCACGAAACTGGATCTAATTTGGATATTTTCATTGACACTCACCTGCTGGATTATTGGTTTTACCATACGCCAGGAGTAGATAATAGGACTGATTCAAATCCGGAACATGGGCTTCTTGTGCCGCTTGACTCGGTACCATTTTTTGCCGGAATTTACAGTAAACAGAATTGTCCTTGTGAGTTGACTGCAGTAATTCCACGTTATTAGCACGATGCTGAAACACTTCTCACATCTGGTCGTGCTTTTCGATGTAGGAAATGCGGCCCAGTGATAAGAGGAGGGGGCATTTTTTTCGCTTTTGTCTCTGTCCCTGTTTACTATCTGGTAGCAAAATTATGGCCAAAAGTTTGGGCCTGGCAGAAGAACGAAAATCCTGGAAGGCTTCGTTCCGGATTGAGAACTGGATCTTAGTTATGACATGTGAAATGGTTAAGGTCAATCAGTGAAGCATCAATTTAGAAGTGAAATTCACTTCAGAGGCGATTCGTGCAAACCCACCTACCTCTTCTGTTAAATTTAGCGGCTTATTATGTTTGCCAATATTACGTGATAAAAATGCTCCAGCTCGACTGGGATCATTGAATGAACAGTGTGTGACCGCATCGTCGCCCTGAAAAAACTAGAATTAAAAAATTATTGACTGATTTACCAAGTCTATAATAAAATTCTACAAGATTTACACTTATCCAGACCTTAATCAAAATCTGGAGCAAATATAGCACAGAGGCCGGTGTTATTGTTCAAACAGCGATGAAAAATTCCTGTGGGCCGTTATTTTTTGGGGTAATAATGCTCACCATTAGTTCGTCGTGAGAAAATCCCACAGCAGCATAATTAGTATCTGGATTTGTTCCACTGTAGAATAATTCCACAAAAGTCCATCCGTCTGGTTGAGGTGCAAAACTTACAATTTTCTCACAGTTTCCATTTTGCTCACAACGCACTGGATGAAATGCACAACTCTAAAATTTTCAAATATTTTCAAATAC